TAAATCTTTGACTCTTTAAATCTTTGAACTTCTGATTGGCAGGGGTGGCCAGACTGTTGCCTCCATCCCACCCTCCTGCTTCAGGAAGCGTCCCCTCACCAGTGACAAACCCTCCAAATCTTGATCCAGTTGGTGCAATCTGGGTCCTTCCAGTGGGCTGGAGGGGACTTTGCACCCATCTCTTTTTGTTCAAATATTTTATACTCACTATCAATAAAGGAATTAGACACTGAGAAGTAATTTTCCTTGGTGCAAGGCTTCAATGAAGCCTTGTCACACCATTTTCAGCCACAAAGAGGATTACAGCAGGTTAAATGGCACCTCCATCTCTTCACACCTTTCCTACATGATGCGAGTCCAGCATTGCTGGGAAAAAAGAGTTTGAAAGAATAAGGGCAACGAAGCCACTCTGAGGGGCTGACAGAGCGAAAGCAATGGGTTCAGATGTTTCAGTTACACTTTTTAAAGTGGAGAAGCAGCAGCGTAATTCCTCCTGGGAACAGCTGATGGGTCAGGGCAGAGATGCCCCTGCTTTATGCCAGGGAGGAAGATATTTCCTGCCTCTTCCAACATAAATAAAATGCATTTCAAGCACCAGCGGTGCTGCTCGGGGTCCCGTCTGCCAGAGCAAAGGGGCAGGAAGGTCAGGATGCAGAGGGGAGGTCAGGATGCAGCACAGCTGGGCAATGCCCCGGTGCATGGCAGCGCCTGCCCCATCGATGGGAGCTCCATCCCTGCCTGCCCCGGTGGTCCAGGGCAGATCTCTGCTCTGGGGGATCCACCAGGGCTTTGCTTGTGGCCATGGCATCAGCAAATCATCAGCATCATACAGCTCACGGCACTTGGCAACCACGCGGATTGGCAGCCTGCACATTTCCTAAGGTTTGAGGTTTTTTTTCATTTCCCTTTCAAAAAGCCAAAAAACGCCAGCCGGCCCCTGAACGAGCCAGTCATACAAAAGCCACAGAGCAGTGAGAGGAGGAACTCTAAGAAGACAACAGGAAAAAACCTCTCCTGACGTTACAGAAGAAGCTCTCCATGGAGGTCCCCACTCCACTCCACTGGGCATACCCAACCAAAACCAGAAGAAGAGCAAGAGAAAGCAGCAGAAAGAGAAAAAATAATCTTCTTGCCTGCACAAACAATCAGTTGTGGAGAGAAAAAAGGGACGTTTTCGGAGGGGAAAAAAAAAAATAATAAATCGCTATCTGGAAATTTGGGGTGGAATCTACTTAAGGGCACCTGAGGGGCCCAGGTCCAGCCATGTGCCCCGTGTCTGCCGCGGCACCGCACGGCCGGGGGCTGGCGGGCGGCCGTGCCGACGCACAATTCTGGGATTCAGAGCCGAATTCTTGAGATAAGTCTTTTCCAGGAATGTCTGACAGTGCAAACGAAGCGAAGATTGCAACATTTTTTCCATAGTTCTCGGCCTCTTGAAACAAAAAAAAAAGGTCATTATCTAACCAGCAAAGGCAGGAATCAAAGCAACAAGCAGGCAGTTGTAAAAGGCGAAGGAGTGGGCATCTGCCCCTGCCCTGGTGTTTCCTCCTCCCTCCCTGCCCTGGATCCTATCAGGACCACTCAGCCCTCCCACACGAGGGGGTTCAAACCCTGCCAAAAGGAATTTGGGAGGTGGGACCTCAGCCTCCACCGAGGCTGGCTCCATCCTGTGCTAATGTCCTGGGGAGCCACGATCCGAGAGTCCTGTGGTCAACCCTTGGGTTGTTTTGCTGCGTATTCCATCCCCAGGGATAATCTGTAGGGTTAGAAGCACAGTCCCAAACCTGTCCCAGTGTTAAACGCAAGGAAATCATAGAATGGTTTGTGTTGGAAGGGATCTTAAAGATCATTCAGTCCCACCTCCTGCCCTGGGCAGGGACATCTCCCACCAGACCAGGTTGCTCCAAGCCCCCTCCAACCTGGCCTTGAACCCCTCCAGGGATGGGGCAGCCACAGCTTCTCTGGGCAACCTGGGCCAGGCTCTCACCACCCTCACAGCAAAGAAGTTCTTCCTAATCTTGCTGGCACCTGGTTTTAGCAAACTCAGCTTCTTGTTTGCGTTCACATTAACAGTCATCTGAACAAAAAGGTCCCTGTGTGGCCGGACAGCGGGTGAGAGGAGGCTCATCCACCCTCACCCTGCTGAGACCACGGGGAGCATCACAGCACAACCAACCTCCCGAAGCCCCCACTCACGCTGAACGCACGAGATCCTACCTAATTCCACATCTCCCAGGCGCCGAGTGCCACCTCTTTCCAAAAAGAGAGGAAGAAATAACTGCAGCGCAGCGGCCACTGCCACGGCCAGAAGAAAAACTGCCTCTACATAAAGACCACGTCCTGCCAAAAATTCCCGAGTGAGGATTTCTTGCTCTTAGCCCCAGAGCAGACCTTGGCACTCGGCGATTAACCGTTAAGTACCGTCCTTGGCACAGGCACAGAGAAACAAACTCTTACAAACTTTCTACAGCCCGGCGTGGCACGCACAGCCTGCCTCTGGAAAGAGATTTAAATGAGAACGGTTTGTGGTATTTGCTATAGGATCTTTCAGATTTTTGAAAGTAAGCATATTCCTTGCACAGAGAGTTCGAGGAGCGTTAACAGGGAGCAGGCAGGGGACGAGGGTGAGCCTCGGAGCTGGTCCTGACACAGCATCCTTGCCCCGAGTCCCCGTTATCGCCCCGAATCGTGGCCGATCACACGTCCCCCGGCAGCGCAGGGGCTCGGAGACGGGGGGCAGGGGGGAGGGAGGGTGTGGGATCCCCTGGAAAGGACACCGTGTGGTATTTTTTTTTTTTTTCTGGTTTTACTAACAGATTTTAAAAGTCTTGTGTCAACCCAGGAAATATCTTCTGCTTTTGTGTTCTTACAGCACCAGAGAGCTCTGGATCCCACATCCAGGGTCGCACCGGATGAAGGCTGGTCCTCAGCCGCACTGTTCTCACAGCCCTGCTGCACTGTGGATGGGGCAGAAGCTTTTGCCCAAGCAAAACCTCTTTTTCCTGATGCCAGAGCAGAGCCTTCATACCAGTAAGAGCTGGCAGAGAGCTCTTCAAGACTCGAGCACAAGGCACCTCTACTCAAAGAGATGCCACTGGGGCGCCTTATCAACCCAACTCAGCTGCTTGACGGCTTTTCTAGCAGGGCCACCTTGTCCTTTAGGGCCACCTTGCCCCTTTAATGATAAAAATTAATCACTGAAAGAATCCAGAGGAAGCCCCTCTTCGAGCAGCTTCTGGGACCAGGACAATATAGACTCACAACACCCAGCAGGACAGTCAGACGTGGAGGAAACCATCCCAACCACAGTTTGGACAAGCCCCTCTCAACACTGACAACTCCCCGACACGCGGCATCCTGCAAACATCCAGAAAAAAAGTGATGCAGGTTTGAAAAGCAAAAGATTTGGGGAGGCTTTACAGCTCTGGGACTCCGGGGGAGGGGGGAGGGGGGGGTGCAATCGCTGCCTTTTATTTGGAAGCGCAAGGTCAGCAGTTTTGGAGCACGCATGAATGGCCGTGAAGCAGCCTGCCTACGCTGCAGCCAGCCAACTGCTGATGAAGGCCATGGCTCCAGAAGGCTCCTGGGCTGGGCTGGGGTCCAGCCGCTTCCCGGCTGGTCTGGACACCACCAGGCGTCAGCAGAGACCCACGGCGGTGGCTTCACTCCCAGGGAAACCAGAGCCTGGGCCCCTCACGGGGAGGGGGGAAGAGGGAGAGTGAGTATCAGCATCCACCTCCCCACGTGGGGGGACCCAAGAGAGTTTTGCTCCCAGAGGGCGGGGGGGTGAGGGTGACCTGGATCTCCAGAAACCTCTGACAGTCTCCCATCACCACCCTCTGAAAGCATTCGGTGCTCTCCACCACCACCGTTCCTGCCTGGCCAAGACCACGTTGGCATCGGTTTGCTCCTGCGCCAGGACCGGCACAGCGTGACATGGGGATGATTCACAACTGGTTTCACTGGGGGTTCCACTGGGAGAATCTCTTCCCAGGGGAAAGCAAAACCCAGGCTGACTGAAAGCAACCGCCGGGCACAGCACCACTGGCATTAGCCCTGTCTTCTGGGGAAACTGAGGCACGGGCTGGCCTGACTCCCTGAGCACAGACCTCCTGTTCCTCGGGGTCACAGCATCTCAGCAAGCGCTCCTCCCCTGCTGACCTCAGCAAACAGCTGGCTGGGTGATGTCACCCCGTGTCACATCACCCAGCGTGACGTCACCCAGCGTGATGTCACCCAGCGTGACGTCAGCCTTGCCCCAGCCCAGCCCAGAGGTGGCCATTCAGCCACTCCAGATGTGCAGGTGCCACGGGCGGTGGGATGAGGCAGGGCCTGAGGGCTCAGCACGTCCCAGCCACGGTGCTCGGTCGGGAACCACAGGGTGAGGAATGTGCCCAAAAACTCCGCCTGTCGCAGCAGCAAAAAGCAGGGAAACTTTCTAGATAGGGGACAGGGTGTCCTCTGGGGACAGGCTGTCCCCCTGGAGCACCATGTGCATCTTTTAGACACTTTAAAACAGGCAAGAGGGAGGTGGGATAAAAAGATCAAAATAATCAATTGGTGCCCAGTGAGCCCTTCTCCAAGGAGTCTCGCATTTTTATAATCCAAGTGTAATCAAAACGGGCTAATAACAAGAGACTACTAAAAAAGAACCCCAGCAGGTCACCTCTGCCGTGGCTGAGTGTGCTGAACAGCCTGCCACGGTGCTGCCAGGAGCTGCCCCACAGCTGGAGGCCAGAGCAATGGGCACTGGGTCTGGTACCCACGCTGAGCCCCATCACGGCTTCAGGGACCGGTAGGGCTGGGAGGGAGCCATCTCCCCACCAGGATCATGGTGGAACCCTGCTCCTCCAGAGAAAGGAGAGGAGGGGAAGGGCTGGGAGGGGGTAATTTCAGGGAAAAGCAAGAGGGCATCACAAATAACCCGCACAGGCAAATCCCCCTTGATTTCATAAATCCGGGGAGGAGGATAAAAGCCATGTAGCCCTGCTGGGACTCACCGTTCGTGGACGACGTCAGGCAGTGGAAGACGTTACCGGAGGTGCAGTTCTGCCAGAGGTCCGCCGTGTGCCCCCCGTTCACCAGCCATTGCTGCAAAAAGACACAGCCCCATGAGCAGGGCCCTGGTGGGAGGGGGCAGGCAATGTGTGCCCCCCATCCTCCACCCCAGGGCATCCAGCAGCCCCAGTGCGCGCCGGCACGCGTGTGCCCGAATGGGTGCTCCCAGGCACATGCTTTTCTTTAGAAAAAAAGCCAGGGGTTTAGAAAGGAAATAGTGATATTTGCTTTTAGCCACTTTCACCTCAACGGCAGAAAAACAGAAGCTCTTTATTCTCTTTAAATGTGGACGGAGTCCCGCGGGGGACATGAGCTTCCCTCCCCTCTGCCGTCCTCGCCCAGCGCCTGGCCGGGCTATTTGAATGCTTCCACGTGATTTCTAACGACTTGGAAGATTTTTTTTAACATCTTCTACTACTATTACCACCCAAAAAAAAAAGGAGGGGGGAAAAAAAAAATAAAGGAAAGAAGAACTTGGTGAAGCAAGCCTGGGACTCGCCAGCTCCACAGAACTGCTGCCTTAAAACAAAGTCAAACCTCTCCCAAAGTAGCTGACGTGTTCACTGGGCTCCGGACCGAGAACGGTGCTGGGAACTCTCTGTGCAGCATCCAACCCTCAATCTTCCCACTGCCTGCAAAGCTGCAGCTTTGAAAATCACCAGGAGGAGCCCATCAGGCTGAGGAGAGGGCGGCCGTGCACAACTCACAGCCCCAAAGGAGCAGAGCTGGAGAGAAAAACTCGTGGTGCTGAGGAGCCAGTCCCCAAACCAGTCCTGTTTCAAGGGGTTTTGCTCAGACTGGCCGTACTGGTCCTGTGGGCTGAAGCCCGTTAGCAGGTGGAGCTCCTTTATGAAAAGGGGAGTGCAATTTGGGTGCTCTGAGGCTGCTCCGTGATGTGACATGGGGACAAGGAGGAGAGGAGACCCCCCTCCTCTGCACCGATGGGGATGCCCTGAGCACCCGCTGCCACACACAACCCAGTGACACCCCCCCCCCCTCCCAGTTACACCTGACAGCACAAACACAGAAAGAGCTTTCTGTCCAAAACGCTTCAAAATCCCACTGTTAGTAATAAGAGCAGCACTCGGTAAGTCATATTTCCTGCCAAAATCCAGGCTGGAAAATAAACCAAAAATAAAAACAACACCGTCTGGTCTCGTCACACCATAAACCCCCCCTCGTTGGGCGCTCCCTGCCCCGCTGGTACCCCGGTGGGGGAGGAAAGTCCGTACTTACGCTGACGATGGTGGAGACGAAGAGGAGCACCAGCACGGTGACGTGGAGCACGATGATCCCCAGCAGCAAAAGCAGCATCTTGGCGGTTGGAGGGCAGAACTGGAGAGGCAGAGGGGAGAGGGATGCTGCTGAGTGTGTGTGTGTGTCTGTCTGTCTGTCTGTGTGTCCTTGTGAAGCCCGGCCCCGAGGGCAGCGGGGAGGGTTCTGAGGGATGCTCGGGCAGCGCCCAGCGAGGGAGGGGTCCGAGCCCTTTGCCCAGACCCACTCCCAGATACTCCCAGAGGGTCCTCTGAGCCTTTCCCCAAGCCAGCCCACTGAGGGGGCATCCTCGGCCACCCTCCCCTGGGGGGGCTTCCGCGGGGGGCTCCCCCAGCCTCTCTCCTCCGAGGGGAGGCTCTGACCCCCCTTCCCAAGGGCAGTGTGCTCCTCAGCACCCCTGGGGGGGGAAGTGTCTTTCATCTCACCCAAGGGGCTACCCTGGCCCTCCGCCGCCGGGATGGAGGGTCCCCTGCCCACCTACCCATGGGGCCACCGGGGCTGATTCTGGTGGCCCCTCTCGTCAGGGGAGGCTTTTCCTGGCCCATCTTCCCTGGCGACCCCCGCGGAGGGTGGGTGGGGGGATGTCTATCTCTGCACATCTTCCCCGACAGGGCAACCCCCTGTCCCTCTTCTTCGGGGGTGTCTCCTCGGCCCATTTCCCCCCCCCTCCTCGGCACCCCCAGCAGGGGCTCTCATTACCCTTCCCGGGGCAGGGGGGGGGAAGCTTTCCCCAGCCCCTCTGCCCTGGGGACTCGCGGAGAAGAAAGCGGGGGCTACTCTGACCAATCTCCCTAGAAGCCCCCCCGAATGGGGGTTTCTCCTCGGACCATCTCCCCGCGGCACCCCATTGCCCCTCTCCCCCGGGGAAAGGGGGGGCTTTCCCTAGCCCATCTCCCCGCGGAGAAGCAGGGAGAGGCTGCCCCGACCCCCCTCCCTAGAAGCCCCCCCCGAATGGGGATTTCACCTCGGACCATCTCCCCCCAGCATCCCCAGCAG